CCCCTCATCCCCCCTCAACCCCCGCACCTCGTCTTTGTAAGGGTCGCACCGCTCCCTGAACCACAGCCGCAGGAACTCCTTGTCGATGTTCTGCGGCTCCTGGCCCGCAGCGTGGCGCGGCTCGTAGGTGTCTGCCAGCCAGTAGCGGCTCGAGTCCGGGGTGTGCACCTGCGGGGGCGGGCGGCACAGGCGGATCGTTCGTGAGAAGCTGTGCACGTAGCAGGTTGGGATTAATGGACGACAAATTTGTGCACATCGTCAATGAAGCGGTGTGCTGTCGTGAAGGTTTGTGTTGAGGGGCCTCTCCACATGGTGCATAGGCCCATGTGCCTGCGGCGCACAGTGCAGGGTGGGTACCTGCTGATGCTTTGCAATGAGGCTCGTTTGTGACCGCGTACCTCTTTGTTACCATGTGCCTGCTTGACGCATCTAGACCCAGCCCCACGCAATCACATGCCCTTTCCTCCTAGCCACTCGCTCCCCATCACACATTCCCACACGCGTGTGCATGCTCGTGCGCACCTCATCTATGAGCATGATGGTGCCATCCGCATCCTTCCCAAACTCGTACTTGGTGTCAACCAGCAGCAGGCCACGCTTCGCGGCCTGCAGCGCGGCACAAGCAGCGTGCAGGTGCGGGTGATGACCATTGTTGACCAGGACTCATGACCTCTTCGATGCGGTACATCAGGTCAGGCAATACAGACGATGGAGCAAAAGCAATAATGACAACAACATGTCAGTAAGTTTGTTGTGATTTTTGCTCTTGCAGCTGATTTTGCGGCGATGAGAGGGGATAGGGAGGGAGGGGGGCGACGGCCGCGACAGACCCTTGGCCTGTGGGGGGGCCCAGACCCCGCGCAGGCGCACCTCCTTCTGGCCAAACTCAAACAGCGCCAGGGCCGCGCCGCTGGCTGCTGCCCAGTCCTCTGCACTCATCATGCCCTGGCTGATGATGTCATCGGGTGACACAGGCACGTCGTGGTCCTCCGCCTGGCGGTGATGATTCCAGGGGGGGCGAGTGGTTGCTTGGGACATACCAATGGTGTGTCGGTAGATGAGGTGAGAGCTGAAGGCAGGCACTGAGTCAGATCTGTGTATGCATGCTCTGCCCAACAGGGGGGGCAGCAGCCACCAAAGCGTGGCTGATGAGCCCTGATGCTCCCTTGAAGCATGGCAGGATGACCAAGGCCGGCTGACCTTGGTGGTGGGTGTGATGACGTTCTTGTCCAGCCGCTGGTTCTTGCGCATGCCGTCGGGGAACGAGTTTCCGCAGTACGTGCGGGCGCCCGCGTTGTAGTGCGTCCAGAGGGAGGTGTCCGTGCTGCCTGCTCAGCGGGGGATCGGCAGCGCAGAGGAGAGCACAAGGCATGCGTTCACGCCCAAGCCAGCGGACGTCGCCAAGCCCAGCTCGTGATGGCCTTGAAGCTTAGAAATGCTCCAATGAGCTCGCCCGCCTGGCGGTGCCGGCAGCGCATGAAGCCTTTGCCACCCCTGCGCCGTCCCACGACCCCCCGTCCCACCCTGTCCCCCCCCACGCAAAGACCCTGCCCGCACCCGTCATGAAGCCGCGGACGACAAATTCCACTGGGAACACGCTGCACTTCTTCATCACCGCCACATTGGGGTCCGGCGTGGCCAGCAGCGCGTTGGGCACGATGTGGCGCGTCTGGTCAAACCACCAGGCCGCGGTCTGGTTGAGCACCTGGCAAATGGTGAGTTGTGTGTCCAGGCGTTGCGCAGGAGGTTGGAGGGGCTTCGGACAGACCAGCGGCCGCCAGCAGGGCAGCTGCTGACACACTGGCAGCAGCGTGCAGGCAACGGCACCATTGCCGGTGCGCCGCAGCCGCCGCAGCCGCCCTCACTGCCGCCGGCCGTCGTTCGCCCCACCTGGCCCTTGAATGGGATGGAGGCCAGCAGGCGGTCAAACGCGCTCTGGCGGTCCGTAGTCACGATGACTACGCGGTCCCCCAGGTCGTACGTGTCGCGCACCTTGCCCTGCGGTTTGAGGGTGGTCACATGGATGGGCTGCCTCGCGCAGACACTGTTCTGCACTGATACCAATCCAAGTACAACTCACGACGCTGATGGCGATGGGTTGCATGGGTGCAGGCGCAAGCGCCCGCTGGGTGGGACATCCATGCCGTCTCCCGCGCAGCGGTCAGGCAGGGTGTTGACACAGCTGCAAAATCGCTGGCGGGTGGGGCAAGCTGCTGGCCGTGCGAGCGACGGCGCACAGGCGGTCGGGCGGCTTCTCGCAGTAGCGTTTGGAAAGGTTGCATGCCACGCACCTGTCGCCGGCCGGGCAGCGGCAGATGGGTGGCTGTGAGGCAGTTGTCGACCGCCGCCGTTATAGCCTCCTGGACTTCAGGGCGGATGCCCTGGATTGATTCGACGGCCCTGCGCGCGGGGGGCGATTGCTGCTTATGCAAAGTCCATGCCCAAGGGCTGCGGACGGCGGACTCGATCTCTGGCCGCGAGCATCGCGCTTCAGCTTGGACGGCCATCAATCCGTTTCTTTAGGCAATGGCGGCATGCACTGCATCCCTTGGCATGCGGGGCTGCCGTTGGTTTGCCAACAGCGATGCACTGTGCCGGCACATTGATGCAATCCCGCAAATAAAGCCGCCGCGCACCGCGAGCTCGCCGCTGAGCAGGCCGTCCGCCGCCACCCGGGTCCACCATTCAACATACTCGTGCGAGTTTGCCGAGAGCTCGTGGGACCTGATTGCCGCCCGGGCGCCCCTCGACTGATCTGCATCGTGAGACTTGATCGGCAAAGACAGAGGAAACAACAGTAGGATATAAAACCTTACATAGCAGTGCAGCGACCTAATGATGATAGGGCCACGACTGCTCCCGACTCACCCAGACGGGTGCGGGGACTGCAGCGGCTGGGACTGCCGCAGCGTGGAGTGCAACACTGCGACTGGACTCACGCTTCATTGCTTGGTGCATCATCAGCATAACACTACGAGCCACATCCATATCCAGATTGAGGCTCAAACGTAGTGACTAGTCCCACCCCTGAACTCATAGCCTGGCAGTCCAGGCAAGCAGCAGGTGTGCCGCACGGTCAATTCTGTTTTGAACGCGTTGGCCCTGGCAGCCCTGTTCCAGATGTGCTGCAGCAGCTGGCCGTTTGATGATGCCCTGTCTAGTGACACACATGAAACCGCAACGTATGGTGTACTGGTGCTGAGCCCCGTACTGGCATTGGCTAGCAACTTGTGCAAGCGCACATGCCAACAGGAGCCCGTGCAAGACAGTAGGGCAGCACTGATGGGCTCCTTGGACAAGGACAGCAGCAGCCACGATGCAGGAGGACAGACTGAGGGCACTTGCTTGCAGCGCTACTTAGTTCTGTGTCGTCAAACCCTGAAGCTTTGAACGTCACGGCTGGCGTATCCCTTCTCGCCGCATGCACATGATGCCGAAAGCAGCACACATCCGCAATGGTGACACCATTCCTGGGATGATCCAGTCTCCCTTGCTGCTGTGAATCTTCCAAATGACAACGGGCGCCACGCAATGCCAACCCCTCAGTAACCACAAGTGCGAAAGCTCGGGAAGTTCCCGCGCTTCATACCCGACAATCCAGGCATGCGTACACACACCCGACTCACATTTAAACCCCCACCACACACACACACACACACACTTACACGAGCGTTCGCATACCTGCACACGCACGCGTGGAAGCACGCACACATTCACCGACACAGGCCAACACAGGCCAGCACGCACGCATGTGCACGCGCGCTCATGCGCACGCACCGGCACGCCCGCGTGGAAGCGCACGCGCACACGCGTGAACGCAAATGCTCACGCACGCGCACACGCTCAGACACACACACACACACACGCAGTCTGTGCACACGTGAACGCACCCACGCCCACGCACACGCACGCGCGCATGCGCACACGCAGGCACACACACACACACACGTGCACACACACACACCGTCTGCGGCATCTCAGTAGCAGTGGGGCCATGGTCAAGGGCCGCTCTGCCAGAGCCAGGGTTCACCACGAGGAGGTGTGCCGCAGGTTCGAACCCCAAAATATGGTCTGATCTGCGGCCCGCCACACGCACCGTGCTTGCGCGCGGTACGTGTGTGCGGCGCCCAGCACCCGCCCGAGGAGCCGCAAGGATTCTACCCCATATTGGCTGCGGCTGACGCCCACCCGAGGGTGGACCGCTCGCACTTTCGTCCACAGGGTGGCCTCCCCATACGGTGGCTGCCAGGGTGTCGCAAGCAGCTGGGCTGCCGCAGGATCAGCTAAGGGCCTGGAGGCCTGCTATGCTGACGCAGGTGGTGCAGTGCAGCGGCTATGTGAGTGGACTGTGTGAGGCTGAGAAGGTGGGTGATGACGAGGGAGAAGGCTTCGGAAAAGATTATGAGCCTATTTTGTGGGCGTGGGGCTTTTGTAGTCGTGGAATTCAGCTCGAATTGACCGGTCAGTTCCGCGTTTCTGAAGGCCGCTTGAAGGTCGGTTGCTTCGAGGGCGCCCGATCGTCCCCGCACAGCTCCAGGATGCCTCTAAACTCGCGCAGACATGGCCAGGGTGGGCGGCGGGGTGCGCCAGCAGCGCAGTCAAACACAGTCAGCGCGCAGTGCTTCTCAGCTTCACTGCGCTGCTGCACATGCTGCACTGCGACAGGCGCCGCGTTTTCAACCCCCTGTTTGAGCGCGACCGAGATGTTGGTCTCCAGAGGATAATCCACCAGGCAATAATCCACCAGCAATCACAAACGGTCAGCGTGCGGCGCTGTACGACTGTGCTGCACATGCAGCACAGCGATGGCCGCCGCTGCAGCTCGTCATGTCTGGTGTGCGCCAGGCGACGTTTTTGCACAACATGCACGATGAAGGATTGTCGAGGGGTGCAATGCAATTGCTCGCGGGATTTACGGGGAACAGGGGGAACATCCGCTGTGGGCTCACCTAGACATCTCAGGCGTGGGGTGCCTTGCAGGGGGCAGCCAAAGGGATGAGGATGAAGAAAGAAGGTGCACGGCCGAACACACAGCCAACCGGGCAGAACAAGCGCAGATGGCGGTGATGGCGGACTTGTCGATGGAATCATCTTGATGTTGATTGCTCTTGCTCGGCCTGCTTTGCAGCGCAGCCCCGGCCCCCACAATCAGCCGCGCCGCAGGCTGCCTGTTCAAGTGGTACTGATGCGGCATGCCGGGTTTTTTAGATTGCTTCATGGCAATGGTTACCATTGGGAGACGCCTTGTTCGCGCACCAATCCTGTGTGCCTACTTGGTTCACGACGGACACACAGTCCATCCTGGCTCGCTGTGCTGGGTGGAGGGCGGGTGTGCGCCGGTGGTGGAGTATGCATAGCCCAGGGTAGGTCTGATAAAGCGAATTACATTGAAAGATGTTTGTGCAATCTTCTCATCAGCTTGCATCGACGGACGTGGGCTGGACACACAAGGCGGCACTGCGTTGTGTCTCACCAACCAGCAGCACTCGCGAAACGACTTGAAGTTCGACTATTTGAACACTCAGGAGCTTATTTCATCAAAGGATCTTCGTTCAGACTGTCCCTGCTGGAATTCGAGAGTGCTTCCTGCTGCTCGACACACTTCAGCAAGCATGGGCTACTCGGAGGCGCCGTGGACGTTTAAGGGCAGGTCAGCGATGTTAAATCTCAGCGCAGGCACGCCCTGAGAGCAAACTGCATTTGCGGCGCCCGCTGCCGCTGCCTGTCGTTGCACATTCTGATGCGACGCGCCTCTGGATTGCAGGGCCCTGTATCAGCTGCAACTTGTGCGAGCCGAGGAGGTGAGGCCGAAAATTGTGGTGGATTACAGAATGATGGCAGGCCCGCACGGGTGACACCCTGCAAGCCCTGGGGGCTGAGGACACTATGAGCCTCGAGGCAGGGACGACGCCTGGGCGTGGCAGCCGTTGATGTCGCGACCGTTACCTGAAACCATTCACCCTTCGGCAGGCTCGCAAGTACATCCCCAATGATTTCAAGCTCGTGGATTTCTTTGGGTGAGCGCCGCTAGCAGCAGATGCATAACCCGTGGCAGTGATCGCCAACGCTGCTGGGGCGCGTCGGGCAGCCCCATGGCTTTGCCCAGGTGCGCAACCCGCC